TTTTTTTATAATGTTCTCATGTGTTTTTGTATACTCTTTTTCATCTCATAGAGCCATTATCATTTTAGATTTGAACATTGGGTAGAAGAACAAAGACAAAAATAACCATATTATAGTGAAAATATAATATTTTCATAAATCAGCCAAGCAGTTCACTTGAAATTATCTTTATAGTACTTATGCATAGCCTGAATATGTACAAACAGATACACATCCATACTTAATCAGTATATACAGCGATAAGTAACCTAATTAGGTCATATAATACACGGATTAGCATTTGATAAACAATCTGCTGAAACGTTAAGGAGCTTTACATACAGAAATATTTGTTGTAGGGATGCGATGATACTTTCGGTATGTGACGCCTTCACAAGCTGGTTTGCTGGTTGTGTCATCTTTGTGACACTTGGATATATGGCCCACCAGACCAACCTGTCTATTGGAGATGTCGTAGCCCAAGGTGTATTTCGTCAAACTGTAACAATGTGTCGTAAAATACATCCTTTCGTCATCTGAATCCTTCCTGTGTTAGACCAGACATCAAAATCATAATTTGAGCAGAGCAACACACAAGCGTTAAAACTTATCATCAAATCTTGAATAATGATGAGATGTATTTTTGAAGGATACTCATATTTTAGCCTCATTAAAAATAGAATCAACATGTTTGTAAAATACATATATATATATATATATATATATATATATATATATATATAACGTAGACTTTGCTATATACTCACTAAGGTCTCTGTAGGTGTGTCATTCACTTTGTGAACAAGTCAAATTGTGCGAAACGTATTTCTGACAGTAATTTGGGGCTCTATACCTGTATTTATCTCTGAAAACAAAGACATGACGCCATGAGACATATCACTGTACCTTTTTATTACAGTATATGTGATCTATTTCGCAACAGAACAGTTACTCAATGTTGTTTTCTATTTTCATTACAGGCCCTGGAATAGCCTTCATAGTGTACCCGGAAGCTTTAGCTACCCTCAAATTACCCCAACTCTGGTCTGTCATCTTCTTCCTCGTCCTTTTTACTGTTGGGCTCGACTCTCAGGTAAAAATCCCACTTTTGATCTTTCACAGTTTCTATTGAAAAGGTTTCAACAGTCGTTATAAAAAGCTTATCGATTAAACTCCAAGAAAATCATTACCCGGTGAAGATCTGTCTTAATACGAAATAATAGTAACACTATACAACTATTTGATCTGCATTTTATGTACAATATGTTATGCTTATAGGCAGAATAAGCTTGATCATTCTTCTATGAAAGTTTACGACAAAAAATTAAACACTGATGACGTTTTCATCATAACGCGTTAATGCAATACGATTCCACATATATAACCGCTAGAGCAGTCAGATAAACAAAAAGAAACAAATGTAATTAAATTTTTCAGACCTTTCTCTGTAGGCTTCGCTCGTTTTATAAACGTTATAAGTAATTATCAAGTTTAAACATGATTTGTTCTTTGTTTTGAAGGTAGTACATATACAACTGATATACACTGGGCTGACCGACAGCTGGCCAAAGGTATTCGGTCAACATCGACTTCTGACCTTGGCAGGAATCATTATCACGTCAGCATTATGCGGGATTGTATTCACTACACAGGTGAATATCTGCTTTTTTTGTTTTATATTTTATTTATCTGGTTTTTTTTAACAGCCGAATTCAGAATTCCATGTACTGGGTGAAGAGGGCACTCAAACATATATTTTACAGTGCAAATAAATTATTGTTAGATCTAACGGCATCATAAAGCTATTTCGTTCTTCTAGGACTCGTCAGGGTGACGAGCCTGAAGAGTTGAAAAATATAAAAACCTAGAATGTGACTGAGGAAAATTGAAATAACTGTGCACAAATATCGAAATCTAAGTGATAAGGTTCATGTTTCCTTTAATTTGGTTTTTAAGAAACCGTCACTTACATGTGTAATTATGAAATTTATTAAAACGTGATATACAGGTTACGGCAACCCTACGAGACTTCAGTCCACCTTCAAACTCGGATGGATTTACAAAGAACACATCAGATAACCTGAAAAAAGTTTGCCTGGAGTAATATTTATTAATCCTATTTGATGCATACATTAACTAGATGTTTTGCTTTTGAAGACATGTTATAAGGTTAAATTCCACTGTAAAGAAAATGACTCAGTAAGCCCATAATCAAACTGTTTACAAAACGATCGATGAATAGTTCCAACCACATCGTGAATAAAATGATGTTGAACATAACTGGAAGTAGCCATGCTTCTTAAGTGAAATTGTTAAATCGCATTGAATTAATTTTCAGGGAGGAATGTACGTCGTTCAGCTCACAGACTGGTACATTTCCAGTGTGTCAATCATGGTTCTGGTAGGGATGGAGGTCACAGTTTTAGCGTGGGTATACGGTATGTAATAGGTTTCGTGTAGAACGATTTCATTCCCAATGAATCTCCAGAATTTGGGCAAACTCGCGTGGGTCTTTGTACTGAGACAGAAGTAATATGAGAAACATGAATATAGAACAAATGAGAGAGACAAGAGTTGAACAAGTACACTCCTTTTGTTTTAGGCACTGACCGTCTCTACAATGATATCGAGGCCATGATTGGATACAAGCCAAGTAAACTATGGATGATACTATGGAAATTCATCGCTCCTGTTCTGTATGCGGTGAGTACCGTCTGTCTGTCAGTCCGTCCGTCCGTCTGTCTAGCTGTCTGTCTGTCAGTCTGTTTGTCCTTCAACTTTATTGAAAAAATCCGGAAGTTCATAATGATTTTTTTTCTCTCCCTCTTTTAGGTACTGTGGTTAATAGGCGTCATCAATCACCTGCCAGTAACCTATGCTTCAAGGCCATACCCTGATTGGTCTATAGGAATAGGCTGGATCATCGCCTTCCTGCCTTTGATGCCTATACCGGTTACAATGTTTATCACTCTCAAACGACAAAAAGGCAATCTAAGAGAGGTAAGTGTTACTGCAAGGCTTTACATTCTCTAAATTGTTGGGTATATTTACAACACAGGAAACATGAAAGTTGGTATATTTACAACACAGGAAACATGAAAGTTGGTATATTTACAACACAGGAAACATGAAAGTGGGTATATTTACAACACAGGAAACATGAAAGTGGGTATATTTACAACACGGGAAACATGAAAGTTGGTATATTTACAACACAGGAAACATGAAAGTTGGTATGTTTACAACACGAGAAACATGAAAGTGGGTATATTTACAACACGAGAAACATGAAAGTTGGTATATTTACAACACGGGAAACATGAAAGTTGGTATATTTACAACACGGGAAACATGAAAGTGGGTATATTTACAACACAGGAAACATGAAAGTTGGTATATTTACAACACAGGAAACATGAAAGTGGGTATATTTACAACACAGGAAACATGAAAGTTGGTATATTTACAACACGAGAAACATGAAAGTGGGTATATTTACAACACGGGAAACATGAAAGTTGGTATATTTACAACACAGGAAACATGAAAGTGGGTATATTTACAACACGGGAAACATGAAAGTTGGTATATTTACAACACAGATAACATGAAAGTGGGTATATTTACAACACGGGAAACATGAAAGTGGGTATATTTACAACACAGGAAACATGAAATTGGGTATATTTACAACACAGGAAACATGAAAGTGGGTATATTTACAACACAGGAAACATGATAGTTGGTATATTTACAACACGGGAAACATGAAAGTGGGTATATTTACAACACGGGAAACATGAAAGTTGGTATATTTACAACACAGGAAACACGAAAGTGGGTATATTTACAACACGGGAAACATGAAAGTGGGTATATTTACAACACAGGAAACATGAAAGTGGGTATATTTACAACACAGGAAACATGAAAGTGGGTATATTTACAACACAGGAAACATGAAAGTGGGTATATTTACAACACAGGAAACATGAAAGAGGGTATATTTACAACACAGGAAACATGAACGTTGATCCCCCACCCCGAACCCCACCCCCTGGTTGGTATTCAAGGAAGGAGCCTCGCTCCTTCTCACTGCCTGCTCATGAGATTTCCACTTATGGGTGTCCTTCAGTATTTGTTTTTATCGTTTTACCAGAGGAAAGTTAATTGACTAGAATTAATAATAAATGAGGAATATTTTTAACAGTCAGCAATGTGATAAGTAAATTATTTCGTTAACAACGTTTCTGCTATCGATTTAAACAGATACAATGTATTCGTTGATTTAGCGATAAAAATTAATATTAAATTTTATCGAATATAAATACTGATATATTAAGTTAAAGAAGCTAATGAAAGTATGTTTGTATTGTTCCAGAGATTTGCTAAAGCATTGAAGTCTACCAACGAGTGGAAGCCAGCTACTTCATCACGACAAGACGAAACTGAGGCTGGATTAAGTTTAACTGACAACAAAGGTGATTTCGTTTGAATTGTTGTATATTATGTTTTATAGCAATCAGGCACACAAACATTTAAAATTTAAATTTTCATTTTAACAATGCAAGGCGATACCAAATTCAAATGCATTGCATAAACTAAAATTTAAAACATTCAATGCATGGCGAATATCATAGTCAGGAATTGCCATGGAAAAGGTCAGCGCGTGGAGCTAAATATGGGTTAAGTACACCTTATTCACAGATTCGGTTGTAATGCCGTTAATAAATATAGGTATTTTTTAATAGGGATACGACACCAGTGTTCGTGAAATATCGAATGAAATTAAACAATGTATTTCGTATTAAACATATGTTTGCGAGTTCTAAAAGGTATTCCCAACGTTGGCGGAAAAACTGGCCGATAAGCGTCTGTATACATTATATAGGGTAATATATACTACGCTGGCTTTTTTTTTTTAATGTTCAAATACTAATATCGAGAGTAAATAACCCTAAAATGGTTGTTCATAAACTAAAAATTAATATTATATTTTCAAACTCGTGTTAATCAGATTAGTTTACTAATTTCATGGGACGTACAATAGGACTATTGTTCATATCAATTATAATAACAAGCTCTAGCTATTTATCAAATACACTTGATATTCAGTTGATATTATGTAGAATTAATTTTAGATTAATAAAAATATTAATTATTCAAATAAATTTGATAAAAGATTTATTTTAGTTGGATAAAAAAACAATTTAGGAATCAATTAAAACACATCTACCGTCGGAAAAATTATTTAGCTATATAGATATATGGCGTTTTGAACAATAACAAGTGTTTTGATTTAGGTCGAGCGAGTTTCTAGTCACTTCAGATACGACAAAATAGTTGGTCACGACACGCGTCCCAAAATAGGATTATTATGTGGTCTTAAATCATTTCAATTCTTCCTAAATATGGTAATAACTTCGATTTTGACATTTTGAATGATCTAACCCGCGATACAATATTAACTGTATCAGTATAACAATATCAATTTGATCAACTGCCGAAACATATTCAAAACAATTAAATAAACAGACATGTCTGTGTCCCGCTTAATTGAAACCCGGTGCTTCGGGTTTTACATTATTCATAGTAATGAATATATTTCAGTTTTTGACATTAAAATCTAGATAAATATAAGATACTTATCATTATGTACGTTTGAACGAAATCAAGCTATCATCATTGTCATTGACATGTATTATGCATCATATGCATGAAATGATGTCCCACGTGGAGATAAAGCCTTTTGATCTGTGTTTGTTTATTTGTTTGGTTAGAGTTAATGGTATATGTAATTGAAATATATTGGGTAAAAAATGTACCGGAAGAAGTAATCACAACATCATATTATTTACTTTTTTATTTTTATTTTTTTTCCACTAACCACTTATCATTAAAAATGTGACTAATATAGATTTTATTCAATATACTGTACAGGTAATGTTCGCATTCGATAAAGATTGCGCGAAACTGATTACCCAACAAACAGTTTATGGTGAATCTAAATATAAGAAAATATCTTCAATGCCAGTACATATTGGAACCAATTGAAAGACAAGTGCGATCATAAATATCCAGAACTTCCCTTAACCGTCACAGCCTCGAAATATTTACCCAGCGAAAATAAACAAAATATACAGTATATGAATTGATTTTCACACGTGTTCAGTTATTTTTGAATAGTTTAAACTCCAGTGCATAACTTCCCACTACTACCCTCTCTTATATAACAACCCACTACTACCCTCTCTTAGATAACTACCCACTACTACCCTCTCTTAGATAACTACCCACTACTACCCTCTCTTAGATAACTACCCACTACTACCCTCTCTTAGATAACTACCCACTACTACCCTCTCTTAGATAACTACCCACTACTACCCTCTCTTAGATAACTACCCACTACTACCCTCTCTTACTACCCTCTCTAACTACTCTCTAGATAATAACTACCCACTACTACCCTCTCTTAGATAACTATCCACTACTACTCTCTCTTAGATAACTACTCACTACTACCCTCTCTTAGATAACTACCCACTTCTACCGTCTCTTAGATAACTACCCACTACTACCCTCTCTTAGATAACTACCCACTACTACCCTCTCTTAGATAACTACCCACTACTATCCTCTCTTAGATAACTACCCACTACTACCCTCTCTTAGATAACTACCCACTACTACCCTCTCTTAGATAACTTTCCACTACTGTCCTCTCTTAGATAACTACCCACTACTACCCTCTCTTAGATAACTTTCCACTACTGTCCTCTCTTAGATAACTACCCACTACTACCCTCTCTTAGATAACTACCCACTACTACCCTCTCATAGATAACTACTCACTACTACCCTCTCTTAGATAAGTACCCACTACTACCCTCTCTTAGATAACTACCCACTACTACCCTCTCTTAGATAACTACCCACTACTACCCTCTCTTAGATAACTACCCACTACTACCCTCTCTTAGATAACTACCCACTACTACCCTCTCTTATATAACTACCCACTACTACCCTCTCTTAGATAACTACCCACTACTACTACCCTCTCTTAGATAACTACCCACTACTACCCTCTCTTAGATAACTACCCACTACTACCCTCTCTTAGATAAGTACCCACTACTACCCTCTCTTAGATAACTACCCACTACTACCCTCTCTTAGATAACTACCCACTACTACCCTCTCTTAGATAACTACCCACTACTACCCTCTCTTAGATAACTACCCACTACTACCCTCTCTTAGATAACTACCCACTACTACCCTCTCTTAGATAACTACCCACTACTACCCTCTCTTAGATAACTACTCACTACTACCCTCTCCTAGATAACTACCCAATACTACCCTCTCTTATATAACTATCCACTACTACCCTCCCTTAGATAACTACTCAATACTACCCTCTCTTAGATAACTACCCACTACTACCCTCTCTTAGATAACTACCCACTACTACCCTCTCTTAGATAACACCCTCTCTTAGATAACTACCCACTACTACCCTCTCTTAGATAATAACTACCCACTACTACCCTCTCTTAGATAACTACCCACTACTACCCTCTCTTAGATAACTACCCACTACTACCCTCTCTTAGATAACTACCCACTACTACCCTCTCTTAGATAACTACCCACTACTACCCTCTCCTAGATAACTACTCACTACTACCCTCTCTTAGATAACTACCCACTACTACCCTCTCTGAGATAACTACCCACTACTGTCCTCTCCAAGGCAGCTACATAATGGCAAATGAATGAATTTCTCAAAAGATATTTGTTATAATTTGCAATGTGCTACACTGTTAAAAATAACTATATACATCATGTGTTTGTATCATAGTATTGCATCTCAGGTAACATATAACACAGGTAAAAAGCACAGGTAAATGAATTCAGATGAAATATATGATTCACATTGAAGTGACTATAATTGGCTTACCATTGTCTTCATAAAACACTTTTATAAAAAGTGAACAAATCGGGTCATCATATTTATAATTCTAATCAGATCTCTCAAGACGCTTCCTCCATAAAGAGTAATTAAATCTATCATATATGGGTTTTGAGAAGACGAATTTTGAAATTTCAGTCAATCAGACCGTTTTTGGCCCCGCCCACCAGCCCAGTCGGAAAGCCAGAGTCAATATTCACATATCTTCACATTCATCGAACATTTACAATCCCTGTATAAGAACATTTAATTTTTCCACTCTGTACAAAAACCATACTTCTATCTAAATTGAAAAGACGCCGTCGTTATTTTGTTATGACAGCTTTCTTTTCCAAGAAAGATGACCGGCGGTACAGAAACATGTGTGTGGCTGTAAACTACAAAACTAACAACTTCAACGTATTTTATTACACATTCATCTAAATCAAAGAAGAAATATAAAAAAATGATCGAGTTTCTGGCTGACAACATCATTATCGAGTTTGGTGGTAAGATCTTCCAACAGACTATGCATACACGGCTGAATTCACCAAAGAGCTTATCAAAACAGGTCACAAAGACTTACCAAAGACGTTTAATTTCATTTTCAGATATATTGATAACCTTGTGGTTTTAAATAACAAGAAATTTATTTATTGACCATCGACAAGACAGATTACTACATCAGCCGTCTATCTCAATAGTTTCCTACAAAACCAACATGGACAGATTATCACTAAGCTGTATGATAAGCGTGATACTTTCAATTTCCCTATTGTGAATTTTCCATTTCTGGATAGCAATATTCCTACATCCCAAACTTAAGGTGTTTACATTCAGCTGTTGATTAGATTGATTCGATATTCAATGTCCTGTTCCCAATGTCATAATTTTGGTGCAAGAAGTCAACTGACAGAGATGCAAGATGATGAAAATCATATGGAATATTCGAGAACCTCGCGTTACTAACATGGAAGGTGCCGTCGATGAAGCTTACTCTTCCGCAACACCTGGTCTTATTCTCTTTGTACCTTTTCAGGAGTAATATTCCTTCTGTTCATATTTTGCCCTTGCTTAGGAACCTTTAATCTATGCAAAGTATTTCATCATACCATATTCGGGTATTGAGATTTTTTTTCATTTCAACAATTTTATCTCATTTCAGCCATGTGGCGAAATTCTGTTGTTCTATTACATCGGCTGTTGAGAGTACGTCCCTAACAAACAAGAAATATGTCAATTATTTTGTTTTCAGAGTTCTAGGTTTTCATTGATGAAGATCTGTTATTTGTTGTCAGTGAATTGATATAAAATTCGAAAATAATTCTGAAATATTTTGAGTGTGGGGTAAACATATTTTGTTTGCTCCCCAATTTTTTCATTTGAACTTTTTATAAAGAGATAAATTTCTTCTTTTTTCCTAAAAGAAATACACACAGAAATTTGATAAATCAATTTTGCAAATTGCATTTGTCGTGGTCACGTTAAAAATCCTCTTTTTTCACCATCTCATTTTCTGACAACTTCCTTCACCACCTAGACGTGTTTCTATATTTGCCTTAACATTGATTAATTTGTTATTAGTCTCTTCAGACCATCATCGTTACGAGTATGTGGCAGTTTATTGTTATTGTTTACGAGATGAAGGGTATTTTTCACAGCTTCATGTGTCAGCGTTTTCATTCCCCACGATTCCCATGTGTCCGTTGATCCAGATAACTGTTATATTGTGATTTTACACATAATGCATTCTTCACAAGTCTTGTTATCAAAGTGTCATGACTTCAGACTTTGCAATACAGATAGAGTCAGAGCACACGATTGCATTTTAACACAACTATGTTCAGTATGATTAGGCGGCAAATCGACGGCGCCTGCTTCAGCGCAGAATATCGAAGCATCTTTAAAAAGACAGTGGAAAAATGAAAATTTTGGAGACGTGTGCTAGCAATTCTGGTGTATACAACTGGAGCAAGCTTCACACTAAAATCAGTGATAATAACGTAATAAATAGTCGTTCTCTCTCCGAGGTGTGGAAATTTTCATATTTTCGTAAGTGCTGCGTACTCCTGAAAAATATATCAGTTTTTACCCAGTAAGATGAAAAACAACACATATTCTTTGTATCTTTTATATCAATTAATAACAAATTTCCAAAGTCAATTTTGATACATTAACAGTAACACAGCATTGTGCATCGATAACTTACTTCAAAACAACACAGTATAAATGATGTTTGGTGAGAAACAAAAGAATCTTTTATAAAAAAAAGTTTATACAAAAGTTTGTTATCTTTTGTCAGCCCCGAAAAAAGGAAAACATGTTTAGATGGGGAAATCTCAGCGTGTTCGGGCGATGACCCGATATACATACCTGCAACACCACACAACCGACCACTTGTCCCAGTTACCCAAGGTTAAGTGCAGGTGTTGACGTACTAAGGAATTTACCGAGATAAGCAAAATTCTATATGACATAGTTTACAGATCAGCATATCACCTGTTATCATAGACTTAAAAAATAACTTGCGTCAATATTTTCAATGTAGATCTTTGACTTTCACAATTCATCTATCTAAAAAATGTTCATATTTGTCACATTATCCCGCTGATACCAAGTCAATATGCCATTCTTGTGATATGTTTGCTTTATATTTATATTGAAACGTTTTCCTTTTTTACCCTTGACAGAGACCACACGGTCACATGGCTTATTCTACATGCTGGAAACTAGACCTAGTAGCCACAACTCTTACTAGTCTCAATGAATTTATTAGGAAAAGATGAACCCTGTCTGAGCTTGCTTATTTGAATATGTAACTTTATCATTTTGTTTTGTCCGCAAAACACTGTCTTCACAACAGATAAATCTTCTTGAGCCAAAGGTATTCAATACGAGACCCTTTTTGTAAGCGATCGTTACCGTGGAAGGTCAAGGACGAATCAGGCATGGCCTTGATCGACCGGCGTCGTTTTCATTCCGTTGAAGTTATTTAAGTGTAGGAAATGACGACCTCATAGTTCAGTTGGTAGAGACGATCAAGGCTTTTAATCCTGGACTGACTCTATAATGACATCTTCGTCCTACAAAAGATAAAAAAATACGATGATTATAGAAAAACTGTTTTGAAATAGTGTATAGTGACACGGTCCTAAAGGTAATGGTACAACAGATGCATGGTTGTCATTAATTACATACAAAAGAATAATATATACTGAGAGGAAAAAGAAACGCAATTAGGAATTTCCAGGTCAACTACGGGAAATAGAAAAGGGTTTTAGAATGTAATTATGGTGTAACTGAAAGATAGTTGACCACTCTGTCATCTACGAGAATTTCATTCGTGTACGTTAAGTAAACCTTTCAAATTTGACGTTGATTCAAGAGTAACCCACTCAAAATGAAGTGCTTTCTGGACCCATCAATATCGTGTGTGCAGTAACTGCAAGAACTCTTTTTGTGCATTGAATTGATCGGGATATTAACCCTCCTCATTGGTATACAATTCCAGTCCTCATCCAGCGCGAACGCCAACTTATAAGCGACATTGATTGGAGGATTCGGCCTGCGTCTAATCCTTCTGTCCAACTCGTCCCATAAACGTTCTATTGGGGAGAGGTCAGGGCTGTATGGGGACCAGTCTAGGGTGGGGACTTTGTTTGCTGTAAGATAACCACGGCAAACCCTCGCTACATGCGGCCGGGCGTTGTCCTGCTGTAACGTCAGTTGACGCTGCTGTACTAGAGGAACAGCATTCGGCGCTAGGACTTCATCTCTATAGTGGACGGCCGTGAGATTTCCCTGAATAACGACCAGAGGAGTCTTGATACCATGCGTAATCCCTCCCCATACCATGACCGATCCTCCTCCAAAGCGGTCATTCTCTATCACGCAAGTATCTGCATAGCGCTCGTGGGTACGTCTATAGACACGATGTCGGTCGTCTACCCGGTAAAGCAAAAATCTGGACTCATCTGAGAACAAAACCCTTCTCCAGCATTGCATTGGGAAGCGTCTTACGGAATGTGCGTTCAGCCATTACATTGCTGTGGTCCAACATATGGCCGCTGCGGTCTTAGACCGAAGGCACGCAGTCGAGTACGCACTGTCTTTGGGTCGGTGCCAAAGTCGCATGCCCTATCCTGCCGACGCGTCGTCACACGAGGGCGACGCTTCGGGGACGGTCTGCAACCCTTCCGGTGGCATGTAGTCTTTGGATGAGACGGCAAATGTTCGATGGATGGACTCCAAATTGATTAGCGACCTGATGTTGCGGAGTACCTTGCATAAGAAGTGCAATGGCACGACCCCTGTCAACTTCGGACAGTCATGGCATTTTTACGGTGAATTGTTTATGCTTAAAATGTGGGAAATCAAGACGGATATTTGCACACACAGATTTTGAACCAATTCTTTATACTGGGTTCGAGATATCGTGCTTTTGTCTCTTATTCTTTTGCACCAGCGGTGTGCGCAGTTTAGTTATGCATCAGTGATTATAATACGGTACCATAGGGACCTAACTCAAATGCACACATTTGTCAAGTTTCAAGGGTTTACGTAAAGGATTTAATTTACAATATTAACTTTCTGCTAATTGCGTTTCTTTTTCCTCTCAGTATATATTCAGCATCATTTTATCGGTATGACGTTGTACCAAACACGCCCAAACCACGAGTACCTCAAACCGTAATTTACTTACAAGACGGTTAAAATGATGTAGTGAAAGTGACATATCCTATCGGAAAGAGTGTTAATCCCATATACATTCACACACACACATATATTCCAACGGCAGAAACTCTGTTTCCTTGAATATAACATCCTTCTCTAAAAGAAAACATATTCGCAAATCTACATTAATGAGCTAATTATAGTAATACGTTTCTGGATTACTGGTAATTTGTCCGATGAAGGTGACCATGTAGTCATCGAAACGTCACACTCTAATCTTCTGCTGGTTGTGTTATAAGATGAAGGTGACCGTGTAGTCATCGAAACGTCACACTCTAATCTTCTGCTGGTTGTGTTATAAGGTGAAGGTGACCGTGTAGTCATCGAAACGTCACATTCAAATCTTCTACTGGTTGTGTTATAAGATGATGGTGACCGTGTAGTCATCGAAACGTCACACTCTAATCTTCTACTGGTTGTGTTATAAGATAATGGTGACCGTGTAGTCATCGAAACGTCACATTCTAACCTTCTACTGGTTGTATTATAAGATGAAGGTGACCGTGTAGTCATCGAAACGTCAAACTCTAATCTTCAACTGGTTGTGTTATAAGATGAAGGTGATCGTGTAGTCATCGAAACGTCACATTCAAATCTTCTACTGGTTGTGTTATAAGATGAAGGTGACCGTGTAGTCATCGAAACGTCACACTCTAATCTTCTGCTGGTTGTGTTATAAGATGAAGGTGACCGTGTAGTCATCGAAACGTCACACTCTAATCTTCTGCTGGTTGTGTTATAAGATGAAGGTGACCGTGTAGTCATCGAAACGTCACATTCAAATCTTCTACTGGTTGTGTTATAAGATGATGGTGACCGTGTAGTCATCGAAACGTCACACTCTAATCTTCTACTGGTTGTGTTATAAGATAATGGTGACCGTGTAGTCATCGAAACGTCACATTCTAACCTTCTACTGGTTGTATTATAAGATGAAGGTGACCGTGTGGTCATCGAAACGTCAAACTCTAATCTTCAACTGGTTGTGTTATAAGATGAAGGTGATCGTGTAGTCATCGAAACGTCACATTCAAATCTTCTACTGGTTGTGTTATAAGATGAAGGTGACCGTGTAGTCATCGAAACGTCACAGTCTAATCTTCTACTGGTTGTGTTATAAGGTGAAGGTGACCGTGTAGTCATCGAAACGTCACAGTCTAATCTTCTACTGGTTGTGTTATAAGATGAAGGTGACCGTGTAGTCATAGAAACGTCACACTCTAGTCGTCTACTGGTTGTGTTAAAAGAACTTCTATTCTATTGACATTACCAACCCGGAGAAAATGTTCCGAATCATTTCTAAGTTTTCTTGATCTAAGAACACCTTTCGATGGAGAAATGCATGCCTTCCACATTTTCAGACCACATCCTAACCTGTTCTGATACAACATCATTTAAACCCTATTTGTTAAAGAGATAGTGCACTGCTATTGTTTTTTAATATATTTAAAATCCTTTTAAAATTATAAGATAGCTACAGCAAGAACGAACTCTGAAAAATAAATACTCATCGAGATATTTAACGTTGTTTGAAAAACACACCTGTACGGATTGGGCATTGACCCCGTTTTGAGTACACACAGATCTGTGACGTCACAAGGTGAACACATATACCGCGGGTACGCGAGTCAGCCATATTTATTTACATACAACTGAAGCGACCGAATGATTTTATTTCGTGTTTGACAGTGGATCTGGTGTATAATTTGTTTAATTGGGGACAACAGATAATCGAGGACAACGTTGAGACTTTACGAGGTTTCGCAATGAGCGAAAATAGGAAACGAAGTGTAGGTAAGAGGTGTGTGGCATACGGGTGTTCAACAAAGTACGGCGATGGGTTTGCCCTTCATTTATTCCCTACTAATGCCGATCTGTGTAAGATGTGGACAAATTTTGTACAAAAGAAAAGAGACAAGTGGGACGGTCCAACAACGTACTCGGCTCTGTGTGAAAAACACTTCGAAGATGGGTCATATCCTATGAAATACGCCATTCTTCGATCCATGGGTCAAACTCCCCCCAAGAAGAAGGTTCTCAATGCCGACGCTATCCCCACCATACAGACGGCAGTTCAAGCTGAGCCCATGGATGATGTATCCCAACTTGCGTCCCCACTGTTTGCGTCAACACCAAAACCAAAAAAGCCCAGATCCGCCTTCATGAAACGTCAAAACAGAAGGGTACGTATTGGGACGGATTGACCTAATGTAGGCATAGTTTTATTCAATGTTTTGAAGATCTGATTTTTAAATCTACATAACATTTTCTATATGCCTAGGTAATTTGAACAAATTATATATTAAATATTAGTGTCATCTACAAAATTGAAATGTACTTATATATTTTATGTATTTTTTTTTATTTATTTTTTTTTTTGGGGGGGGGGGGGGAGAGGTTGCTTGGATTGACAAATAACTCGAGATAAGCTTAGGTTTTACATTTCAATTCTACGTTGACTACTATATTATGTATGTATTTAAACCAATTGCACATAAATATGTCATTCAGTCAATCTGCCCTGACAAGTATTGAATGGTTCATATTTTCATTTTTCTTACAGATCATCAATGAGATATTGATTGATGGCCAGACAAAAGACATCAGTGGCGAGGAACCCATGGACACCGACCAAGATGACACTACCCCTACAGTTTTGGAGGTATGAATAAAGAGTCAATTTTATTCCCCCCCCCCCCCTCCCCCTATGAAGAAATGAAATTGTGAAATATGGTACACAGTTGATATTAGATTATTAAACTTCATAATTAAAAAAAAAAACCTGCGTGATATTGCACCAAATACTATGGTATAATGTGGTACCGGTATATTATTTTTTTTGTGGTACCCAATTCTAATCAATATCATGCCCAAAATACATACATGTTACTGTAGAAAACAATAACTTCAACATGTTGTATATTTCATTCAGACACCAACAGTACAGAATGGCAGCTGTATTAGCATCAGTACTACTAGGACATGCGGGACACAACTGGCTTTCAAAAAGCCCTGTGCAAGAACTGTACGAGTACAAGTTACGCCATTAACTAAAGAAAAGGGTAAGACAATGCACAATACATACAACTTTATTGAAAAAGAAAACAGTCACATAATTTTTTTTGCAATTGAGATACTGATGTAGCAACCCTTCAAACAAATAGAAGAAGCCGATTGTAATACTGCTTTCTGAGCTTTATTTTGCCAATTCTGAATCGGTGTTCAATACATGTTTGACCATTGGTGCATTTGTATCCAGATCCTATTTTGTTTTTAAACTCTGTCATATTAAGAATTTGTATTTAATAATATTTCAAAAAAATGTGAATTTGTATTTAGCTTATAAATTTTGCATACATAATTATATTAATTGATGTCATTATTTTGTAACAGGATGTCAAACTACCAATAAACCAAAGATGAAAAATGTTGAGGTACAGTGCAACATCCTGAAGCCAGCCAAAGACAAACTCAACACCTCTGTGACATCAGATGAGCTGGACCAATCATGGATATCGTCAGCCCATGGAAATGAAGCAGATGACTCGGACTACCAGCCTTCAGAGTGTGAGTCGGATGTTGGCTCAGAATGCTTGAATGATGATGACAGGTAATGAACAAATGTTGGTTACTGTACAATTATGATTATGTACTTACAATCGATCATGTTTGTCACTTTGTTCATCTT